GAGGAGAGGAGAGGAGAGGAGAACCTCTTTGAAACTGGCATTCATAATTAAAAGAAACTTTGACAAATAAGGCATTAGCATAGGCGCCTACATTCTCCTGTCAACACAACTGATTGGGAAGTCATTCCATAGCAGCAGCAGCAGCCTTTGTTGAAGGCACAGCCAGCAAATAATGATTGTGAGAAAGAAAAATTTAAGAAAAAGTGTCAAACTGCCACAATTTGTTACATAACAAACCCAGCACATTTCAAATGAGGGCCCCTACTAGGAATGATACCACTCCTATGAATGGCTACAAACTCAGAGAACAATTCAGTTTAAAAATGTTTACTGCTGCTTAAAACGGCTGACACAAAATCTGCTGCTCGTTAGTTTGTTTAGTTGAAATTCAAAGCAACCTTAGAGAGAAGAAAGCTCTATGTGGGTATCTTACCAGTCCCAAAATTCCATTTTCACTTTGGAGGTGTACAGTGATGTCTGGTTTTATAAAGTTGCTGGCCAGCATGGGGATACCAATACCAAGGTTGGCTGATTGGCACTTTGTTAAAGATGGTAACTACTACATTCAAGATCATGCAATGGAAATCAGGCATTAGGATGAAGAGAAACACAAACAGTATTATGCTGAAAGCTGCTTTAATCGAAACTACCGTACACCCGCAGCCTGCTTTTCAACTGCCTTGGACATTTTGGTGAACTCATGTCAGTCATAAAGCTAAAAAACATTTGTTGTGTGAACCATGGTCAGACCCATAGACATTTAAAGTCTTAACATTTCCAAGATACCATTATAGGGGAATGTGAATAAGTCCCAAAATTAGTGGTTAATCACAGATTAGTTGCTCAAAAACTGCTTTCACGAGGAAGGACGAATGCTATCACAATAACATGTAAATGTGAAATGCTGAACAAAAAAAGAATGTGCATAATTTACCAGTGCAATCAACTGGTGCAAAGGCTACAATTATTCATTATGTGTGCCAAGGCACAGTTTTCTTTTTTTTTGTGGCTACTGGCCAACACCTGGTTTGGTTTTAGTTGTGGTAATCAGAACATAAAGTTATGATTCCATAATTTGCTCACTGCTTGTATTCTTTAAAAGGATACCATACATCCCATCCTCAAACTCTAGAGCAGCCCGGCGAATGATCCTTTCCCGAACAATATCCGAGTCCTTCTTTGGTTTGGCCTTCTGTTCTTGGCTTTTCTTTACTGTGCGTTTCTGGAACCATACAGAAATATATGAGGAACAGGGAGACAACATCTTGAAGGCTATTTCTGGCCACACACATGGTTAAGAGCTAGTAGCTGCACAATGATGGAAATGTTAAACCCTGCAACCCATTGTTGAATGAAAGACGATCTGTGTGTGTGTGTTTTGTACCTCAATCCTTTTCTCATAGCTGGCTCCCTGGACAACTCTGTGGACGTAGATGCTGGGTATGTGGATGTCCTCTTCGGGGAAGGTCCCAACATCCACCACCTCCTCCACCTACACAGAGACACAGAGCGATGAGCTCCGCCTTCACCTGTAAAATGTCTCACGACCCTTGAGATTAAAGTTCAGATAAGGAAACCATGCCCTGATGGAACTGCGCTACCAGGAAATAACCTCTGCCTACCCAGCTTTGAAATTTAACAGATTAACTGATGAAGACCAGCTGATTTTTTTGCCATTCTGCAGGCTAATCTCATGAAATTACCTTGATTTTAAGGGTACTGTTTAAAGAATACTGTTTAAAGAATACATCAGACTTTTCTAAATTGGTTTGATATTAAATCCTAAATTGAGCTACAAACAACAGTGAGGGTGGCGCACATTTGTTCTCTAAATGTGATCTCACAGGTTTAAAAATTTCTGCTACTGTCATGTCTTTCACAGGGAGGAGAGGGTAAATATTAGTGGGAGAAGGTGTTGCATTTATTTTTTTTAGCAATTCCACCGAGTCCAGTGAATGCTATCTGTGTACCCATAGCCAGCTTGGCTGACTGAAAATACAGGAGGATCATCTGACACACCGAGCCTAGGGAACGTAGCTTGATCCTGGAATCAAAGGCGATGGAGGGTAGGGGTGCATGAAGGAGATTGTTTTGGTTTTGGTGACTTTGGTTGAACCAAACACAAAAAGGTCAGAAGAAACTTTTTATTCTCCTATGTGGAAAATAATTCTTCAGCTACCTTTACCTTAGCTTTATTTTTAGGTATATTCCACAAGCTCTGCCTCAGGACTCTTTTACAAGGTTTACATTCCAGCTCAGCAGGATTTCAGAGGAGCTGCTTGACCTGACATTGACTGACATTGTCTAAATATACTCAAGGTTAATACACTTTAATTACTCTAATTTAATATGGCAGCATAATAAGAAAGGTATGTGACTTTGTGACTGTGATTCCTACCAAACAATACATTCTTGATTCTCAGACAGAAGACGTCTCCAACAGCAGAAGAAGAGTGTACATAGAGGGTTATTTCTGTCTGACTTACATGACACAGATGGAAATGGCTATTGATTTAAGCAGCGTTGGGTCAACATGACTGGGATAGAAATCCCAGGGTAAATGCACCTGCTCCCTCCTCCTTAGGTAACATAGGAACTGCTATAAACTGTGTCTACAACCACCACTTATACTGGTATTCAAGGCTCACCAATGTGTGGGCTGCCCATTTTAGCCTGCTCTAGCTCATGCTCATAAGTCATGCTCATATTTACAGTAGGCCAACTTATTAAACACAGCATCCCCTGAGTTATTATGTCAACATACGAATCAAACTAAGCTGGGAAGGCATCGACAGTAGACTTTTCTAAGAGAACTGATTTTCTTTTATCAAACAGAAGAGACTCCATGAAGGAGGAGGTGCAATGTCTTTCTTCCTGAAGATTCTTCAAGGGGAAAAAGCACTTGAAATTACGAAATATATAAAAAGGCAACCAAGCACCAAAGTTATCATCACATCTCTGGGGACCAAAAGGGGACTCAACCATGACAACATAATTCTCACCCTCCCTTCTACTTTTCTGTTCTTCACTCCTGTGTAGCTCAGAGTGTAACCTATTTATTCCATTTACATGAGGGGCAAGCAGCCATTCAGAGCAAATTGAATTGAATCTCTCCTTATCTCCACTTCCTCCCTCAGCACTCAGCGCTGACTGAGAGGAGTCAATGGCTAAGAGTGGATCCCATCTTAGCGTTGTCATGGATACGCATGCTTTGGTCTGTGGTGAGCGAAGGCCACTCAGGATCGTAAAGTGATTTTAGACTCTTTTTCTGGTTCTCTCTGCAGGGTTATGCTAAGTCTCTGATGCTCCACAGTGAAAACGAGGCCATGCAAGATGAGATTGGTAGCGCAAGAGAATTGATACAGCAGTCCCACACATCCACCCACATGTTTCTCCGGGGGCTCGATCTGTGTTTTGTGAGAATGATGCAAGATTGAGCTCATCACATTATAAAACAGTAACAGTAATAAAATAAGTAAGGCTAGGGGGCAAGGGAATTACTACAAATATTTGGTGGCATGGATTTCAAGATCTGAGATGAATTAATTATATTAACAGTATCAATCCCTAATTTTTGTCTCAAAAAAGGAGTCAAATAGTGTGCCCCTCGAAACCCCCCCAAAAAAAAAAAAAGATATTCCCTTCTCTTTCCATGTTTGTTTCGTTGGTCTCTCTCAAACACACACGCACACACACGCGCACACACGCGCACACACACACACAAACAATGTATTCAGCTCAATTTTCAATTAGCCTTCCAAAGCTAAGTCACAGCACAATAACAAGCTCATGCAATTTAAATGTTCTGCGTACATAAAAAAGCCTCTGTTCCTTTCATCTAGGCGATGTGTCCCGGCTACACCGGTGCACAGATGCAGCTCAGAGAGGAGGTTCAACGGACGAGGACGGATAAAGCACTAAAATACAATAATAAAAAAAACACACAAGAATAACACAGACACACACGCAAATGACCAGGTGTGCGGAGCAAGCAAACAGCCACACGCACAGACACACACATTGATATTCCCGAATCTGTAGAATGATTTTCACATCAATGAGAGCTGAGCAAGGCATGAAGTGAGCTGGCAGGAGGATAGAGGGAATCAAAGTGCCCTCTGGGGACACAACAAGCGTTTGTTCGAGAGTTTGTGCCTTTTTAGGCTGTGAGCTTTGTCAAATCTTGTTAATCTCAAACTGATTAGATCACAATGCTACCAGATTCCTAGAATGAACTTCCACCAGTTGTGTTGCATACAGTGATTCCTCTACGCTTATCAAATAATGCTGGAAATGTGCCATGCTTATCACTCACATTTGTCCGACCAAAATAAAAACAAGCCATGCCACATTTGCAGTTTGACCACATTTAAAGGACATAAAAAGCAACTAAAGCAAATTATGATAGTTGAATGAAAAACACCAGCATGCTTTCAGACAGGCATTCAGATGCACAGACAACCTTTCATTTCCAAACGGACTCAATGCTCCTTTTAATAAAAAGGTATTAATTTGAGCTGACTGCACTCATACTGACCATCTGGCCTACATTCCAATCACCGCATTAGCAAACATGATCTTGTGTTTGTCTCTTCAGATTGTATGCACATTATAATTCTGTCAGCTTAAAAAAAATATTAGTAAGCTAACGGCTCCTAGAGGCTACTATGTTCATTACGCTCTCGATTACAAATGCGATGGTCTGAGTGTAATTTTACACTTTTAAAAGCTTCCCCAGTGATGGGTGTAAAACTGTGAAATTTGTCCTAAGGGTGATACCATTTGGTTTTTGGAGTCACCAAAAGCATAATGTTTCTTTAAAGGATCATGCCCATGGTTAATTGAATGAAAATTAGGTCATGCATCATCAGTATCTTGTCACATGCCAACAAAAAAAAATACCCTTTCAATTTTCAGTCTTATATCAGATTAATAGAACACCTTGACAGACTGAGATCTTGCAGACTGTAAAAGTTTCAGTAGCTAATACTTTAAATGCTACCTGAGCTTATAATCCATCAGCTATGTGTTTTGTTTTTGTGTGCGCGTATATGCGCGTACTGAGATGCGACAGTCAGGAGAAAGAGACGGCGTGGCTACAGGCGACAGAGCAAGAGGATGACAGCGACACCACACTCTCATTACCCTGTGTATTTTTAGCTTCTCCATCTTTCTCCCAGTGTGTGTGCGCGTGTGTGTTTGTGTATGTGGGCACTTGGCCATGCTCCGCCGCCACTTTCGGGGCTCAGCTCCGGCTCTATCCTCTAACCCAGAATACTGACAACACGAGCAATCTGTTTCCTCTCAGTGGAAGCTTGCCTCTCCTATGACAGCCTTTATGGTATTCAGAAAATGGGAGACAGCCACTGCAAACCCTGACAACATTACAGCAACTAAAAATACATTTTTCAAATGGCACATACTGCACATGGACAACTCCACTCCAAGCTCAATGTTTACATTTCAAAGAACCCATAAGCCTGCAATGTGCTTCAGAGTCAGATGATAGGCAGTCGTCTGGGATCTTTGAACTTATAGTCAGAACGTATAACATGCAAATTTGCCATTTCCAACGTTCAGTTTGTGCATATGTTCAGCAAATCTGTCTTCCTCTTTTACTGGCTACCATCATCCCTTTTTATTTATCTTCTGTGTCCCCTTTTCTGTGTTTCTGTTCAACCACTCCTATAGTGACCTACAGTTGAATATAAAACCATAGCCATACAGGTTGTCACCATCATCAGTAAATGTCAGCATTGAACATGAATTTAAGTCTCTTCTAAACTTGACTCAGTCAAGTCCATTTTAGGCCAAGTCATTCTTATGTTCAGGAATAAGTATTTTAATTGGAGCAATGCTTCAGCAACCTTTTCTGGCAATGCAGATGGGCAAATGCTGCCAGCAATATCCCGAAAAAAGGTACAAGTTACACTAGTTATAAAATATTAAACAGCTATTCTGTTTGCCCTCTAAATGAAACTGTATCTTCAAATGCTTTAATTAATAAAGGAAATGTCTGACCTGAGGAGCTGCAACCTCACAAACTACATTGAGCTGACTACTACTTGAAATTTTAAATTTTGTACCAGCAACTTAACAGAAATGGATGACCTTCATTTAGTTTCTGAGTATTGACATATGAGTGTAGAATACTACCCATTCTTATAACTCTGTTGCTGTTGATGTTTTCTGAATAAGCTATTGTGTAAGGGAAAATTTGAGATATTAGTAATATTTTATTCTCTAATCTTATTGCTTGGCTTACTAGATATAAGCTGATTCATTCTCTTGGTCATGTGTGCTTCTTTCTAAGCTACAATAAATTAATTTCATTGTCATCATTAACAAGGCTGCTAATTCATGAAATAAATGAATGTATGAGTACAGTATTAATACTACCAGTGTCATTGTGAAAAAGCATACACACACTATAAAATATGTCAAGGCTTTTATGCCCATCTGCCCATTGATATTACAGCAAATTGCTGTGGT